CCCCAAAACCCCAAAACCCCGAGAATGATAATTAACTTCAGATTGTTATGAAATTATCATCAGATTTAATTATAGAAAAATAATGAGAGCATTTCTGAAATAGCTTGAGGACGGCCTCAAAGTTATGAAAGAACTTAAAAATCTACCTTGGCTCAAAGATATATTAGCTAATTCTACTCCTGAATAAATTGAGGAAGTTTTTATTGTCAAGATCAGATCTTGCTGTGTGCTGTTTGATTTTAGCAATGATAATAATAAGCATATGGAGGAAAAAGACATTAAGAGGAAAATACTGCTCGAATTAATAGCTTTTTTAGAACAGCCACTGTAATAGAAATAATCAGTATTGACAGAGAGGGTTGTTTAAGAAATAGCAATAATGGCATCAATCAATCTATTTAGAACACCAAAGTAAATTCCATGAATTTTTATATCATAAGAGTGTAGGTTACTTTCAATGGTAAAATTGGAGAGGAAAGCATTGAAAATAAGATCATAAGCGGTGATCCTGATGAAGAGTAAATCTTCCTTGAAGAGTCTTGGCCTCATATATAAATTGTCTATGAACTATTGCTAAGAATAATTATCTAGCCAAGTATCGATGTGAGAATTCTCAAAAATCACATAACCTAGGATTTTGTCTTGAAGGTAAACTCTTGCTATTATTTTAATTAAATAGTTGATTGCCTTGTTTAAATCTCCTGATCCTCGAGAAAGAGATTACCTGAAGACAATAATACACAGAATATATGGCAAGTTCATGGTTTATCGAAGCTTCATTAGAAAAGTGGTCTCATCTTACTTGCTTAAAGTAGTAGTGGACGATTATGAAGACTAATTTGGGCATTCGGAATATCTAGAAATTCTAGGTTCAATTATTACAGGATTTGCAGTCCCACTAAAGGGAGAACATAGACAGTTGTATGAGCAGTGTTTGATCCCACTGCATAAATCAAATCATGTTCAAAGCTATCACTAGCAGCTGGTGCAATGTGTATTATCATATTTGGAGAAAGATCCAAGCGTCGCCGATTAGTGCATTAAGTTTATGTTTAGATACTGGCCAGTTACAAACCCAAACAAAGAAGTTTTGTTTCTAAACGAACTTGAAGAAGTAAAACACTTTGTTTATTTAATGATATCTAGATACTTGAAGTCACGACAAATGATGTAGTAGAAAGAGTTGGCATTCATATTATAAAGAGACTCAATAAATGTATCATTAGCGATCACTTTTAAGTAGCTGAGAGATCCTTATTCATGTTCAATAATGATAAACTCAACTGGCTAGTTAAAACTCATAAGGAGACTGTGATGCCTATTATTATAGAAGGACTTATGAAAAATGCTAACTCACACTGGAATGCGTAATCTTAATTCTTTTTATCATACTTTATAGAACCGTCCAAGGGCTAACATTCTACGTCTTAAAAATACTAGTTGAGATAGACAGCTAATTATTCGATTAAGTCAGTGAAGATTATTACAATAGGTCATAAAATGAAATACTTAAAAGGGCCCGATTAGATTAGAAATGGAGAAGACTTGATCAAAAGATTTAATATAGAATTTCCCATAAATGATTATGAGCATTTGCATTTAAGTAATTTTAATTTCATTACTGGCAATAATTTGATTAACGAGGGGTTTTGGGGTTTTGGGGTTTTGGGG